CGTACCGCAAAAAAAAAAAAAAAAAAAAAAAACAAAAAAAAAACATAGGAAATCTGAATAAAGCGTGGACTTTAGCTAATAATAATGTGTCAACACTGGATCATTAATTTTGGCAAATGTAGTAATGAAGCAAGTTAGTAATAAAGGAGATAGGTATGGGATATATATGGGAACTCTGTACTATCTTTGTAACATTTCTATAAATCTAAAACTTCTAAAATAAAGAGAGAGAGAGAGAGTGTGTAAAATAAAGGAATGGCACAAGACCACTATTTTCTCTCCTGTTTCTTTGTTTTGTCCTACTTTAGTGGCCTCTCCCTCTTAATCTCATTTTGGATTTCCCTCCTTTGTTTAACCTCTAAATATTGAACATTCCAGAGCTCAATTCTGTGTCCCTTTTGTCCCTCTACATATTTTCACTTTCTTCTTGGTGACCTCTTCTAAACTCATGGTTTTAAATATCATTTATATGTCAAAGAGTCATAAATGTATATCTCCTCTCAACCTCTCCTCAGAACTCCTTTTATATCCAACTGCCTACTTAACAACTCCCCATAATTGCTCACTAGCCTTATCAAATGGAGATCTTTACTCCACATTTCAAAGCTACTCTTCCCCTAGTATCTCTTGTTATCTCAATATCTGTCAACATCTAGTCACTCAGGACAAAAAAGGTGGAAGTTATCCTTGATTTATGTTCTTTAACTTCCTTCATTCAACTCATCAGCTAGTACTATTCACTCATCTCCTGAAATATACAGAGAAATAAAATATGTGTATATTTTATGCAATATGTATAAATATATATATATAGGGTCCATCTACTTCTATTTTCACCAACACTATGCTAGTTGAAGCCAACATCATCATTCTTCTGGACTACTACCTAAATCATCAGGCCTCATCTTGACCCTTTCTCCTCATACATCCACTATGGTTCACCCATAATGGCCACATTTATGTTTCTGGGAAAAGCCACTCCTGCCTGGCTTCTTAGGATATTTTAATCCACCTGAAATACTACAGCTGCTGATTTTCTTGAGGTCAGATCTTCTTTGTCATTTAAATTTCAGATTGAGTGTCAAAAATCTGAAAAGTCATCACTGTTACACAATCTAATGTGTCTTTCAAGTCATTCTCTATTACCTCAACTTATTTAATTATACTGCAAAGTATGTTTCTCTATCTAATATTTTTTTATTATTGTTATTATTATGATTTAGTCATTGCTATGATCTAAATGATTAGATCAATTCCAGGAATACAAAGCCTAAACAACCTACTACTTTGTGTTTTTTTTAATTTAATTAATTTGCAGGTTCTTATTAGTTATTTATTTTATACATGTTGGTGTATATATGTCAATCCCAATCTCCCAATTCATCCCACCACCACCACCACCACCACCACCACTTTCCCCCCTTGGTGTCCATACATTTGTTCTCTACATCTGTGTTTCTACTTCTGCCTTGCAAATCATTCATATACAATATTTGTTTTTCTCTTTCTGACTTACTTCACTCTGTGTGACAGTCTCTAGGTCCATCCATATCTCTACAAATGACCCAGTTTCATTCCTTTTTATGTCTGAGTAGTATTCCAATGTATATATGTACCACATCTTCTTTATCCATTGATCTGTCGATGGGCATTTAGGTCGCTTCCATGACCTTCCTATTGTAAATAGTGCTGCAATAAACATTGGGGTGCATGTGTCTTTTTGAATTATGGTTTTCTTGGGTATATGCCCAGTAGTGAGATTTCTGGGTCATATGGTAATTCTATTTTTAGTTTTGTAAGGAACATTCATACTGTTCTCCATAGTGGCTGTATCAACTTACATTCCCACCAACAGTGTAAGAGGGTTCCCTTTTCTCCACACCCTCTCCAGGAGTTGTTGTTTGTAGATTTTCTGATGATGCCCATTCTAACCGGTGTGAGGTGATACCTCATTGTAGTTTTGAATTGCATTTCTCTAATAATTAGTGATGTTGAGCAGCTTTTCATGTGTCTTTTGGCCATCTGTATGTCTTCTTTGGAGAAATGTCTATTTAGGTCTTCTCCCCATTTTTGGATTGGGTTGTTTGTTTTATTAATATTGAACTGCATGAGCTGTTTATACATTTTGGAGATTAATCCTTTGTCCATTGATTCATTTGCAAATATTTTTTCTCATCTGAGGGTTGTATTTTCATTTTGTTTATAGTTTCCTTTGCTGTGCAAAAGCTTTTGTTTCATTAGGTCCCATTTGTTTATTTTTGTTTTTATTTCCATTACTCTAGGAGGTGGGTCATAAAAGATCTTGCTGTGATTTATGTCAAAGGGTGTTCTTCCTATGTTTTCCTCGAAGAGTTTTATAATGTCCAGTCTTACATTTAGGTCTTTAATAGGTCTTTAATCCATTTTTTAAAAAACATCTTTATTGGAATATAATTGCTTTACATTGTTGTGTTAGTTTCTGCTGTATAACAAAGTGGATCAGCTATAGTGTACGTATTTCCCCATATCATCTCCCTCTTGTATCTCCCTCTCACCCTCCATATCTCACCACTCTAGGTGGTCACAAAGCACCGAGCTGGTCTCCGTGTACTATGCAGCTGCTTCCCATTAGCTATCTATTTTACATTTGGTGATGTATATATATCAATGTCACTTCGTCCCAGCTTGCTATTCCCCATCCCTGTGTCCTCAAGTCCATTCTCTATGTCTGTGTCTTTATTCCTGTCCTGCCCCTAGGTTCTTTTGAAAGTTTTTTTTTAAAGATTCCATACATATGTGTTAGCATACAGTATTTGTTTTTCTCTTTCTGACTTACTTCACTCTGTATGACAGATTCTAGGTCCCTCCACCTCACTACAAGTAACTCAATTTCATTTCTTTTTATGGTGAGTAATATTGCATTGTATATATGTGCCTCTTATTCTTTATCCATTTTTTTGTCAATGGACACTTAGGTTGCTTCCATTTCCTGGCTATTGTAAATAGTGCTGCAATGAACATTGTGATATATGACTCTTTTGCCTTATTGTTTTCTCAGATTTTATTCTTCTTATAGTTTAATTCAGTTTTTTTTTTTTTTTTGCTTTTTTGTGTCTTCTTCCAGTAGAATGTAAGTTTTTGGAAAATAGCAACTTTGTATTCTTGATTCTTAGAACACTACCTGACAATCACAGGACCTCAATAAATGTTTCAAGTGACAAATAATCAGTGGACAGTAAAGTCCTGAAATTTAGGGAGAGGAGGGGCTACAGTGGAGGTAGAATGATAGGAGAAATTTACTGAAAGTAGTGAGAACTTGTAAGGCTTTGAGGATTGAGTAAGACTAGTCAATAAGTAGATAAAGATGGAATTCCAGAAAAAAAAAAAGAGTAGAACAAAGGTGGAGAGAGCAATAAACATGGTCTCCTTGGGAAAAGCAGGTGAACAGAAATTTTGTGAAGATTATGACATCAGAATTTGTGGCAAATCCAAATTGCAGAGATTCTTGGAATCAGCAATGTTAGTAACTTTCCTTCTGTTGATTTTCAGCTCCAACTACCTTTGAGCCTTTTAACCATGATCTCATTCTAAGTCTTTTGAGTGAAAGTAATATACGCTGCTCCATCACCACTTTTTTTCTTTATTTGTTTCCCAATGCAAATTTTGATGTCAGCTTGCTTGGGTCTGGCCCAGTGTGTAAGGTGATTCTAGGTTATACCCATCTTCTGTGGTTGGAACTGCCACAACAACAAAAAGGAGTATAAAATTGAAATAGTTTTTCCTTACTATCAAAAGAAGGGCCTTTGCTATGTGTATTTCGTCATCTGACAGTGATGACAGCATTTATTGTCAACACAATTTTTTTTATTAGACAGCTGGATTTTTCCCAGGGGCTGGTTGCACATCAAGTAAGGAAATCCAAATCCACAGACAAAGAGAAGCAGAGAACACAGTGGAAAATAAGGCTGCTTTCTGTTCACCTGTTTGTTCTGAGAAATTCTTAGCTCTCCACCCACGGGAAATCAGATGTAAACAACAACAAGATGATTATTGACAATCTGGCTGGGAGACGTTAAAATGGAAATGCAGTACTTATCTTGGTGCTCTAGCTCAGATAAACTACTGTAGTAGTATAGCAGAACTTTAAATGAGGTGCCTTTTAAATGTGCTGCCCTGTCTTTCCAAATTGCCAAGCAGTAGGTAGCCAGACTGGGAATTTGAAAACATATTATGTAAAATGTCTTTATTTTCTTCAATTCTAGCCTGTATTCAGTTCTAGCCTATATTTTGTAATTGATGGGCATCAAGTGGGCCCTGCTTAGGCTGACTGATTTTTGCAGGGTGAATCTGGATCATTCACAATGCATGTTAAAGAAAGCTAATGAAAACTGTACAGTTCCATCATTATAATAGACTTGATTCAGACGGTCTAATTATCTTGCTGCCTGCTAAAATCTTAAAGAATTCCACATCTGAGTGGATGGGTAGTTGAAGAAACAATGATTGGAGATGAAGAGAGAACAAAAAGTTTTGCACCTCTCTTCATGGAACAGAGGCTTTCAGTGATACTTTTGTCAGTTGCAGTACTCAACTATCCAGGGGCTTCTTTTTGCTTCTTCCTTTTAAATGATGTTTCTTGAATTGATGCTTCAGTCAGACTGATAGGTATTCCTTATATGGATGTGTGTGTGTATATGTGTGTAGGGAGAGGTAAAGAAAAGAGGTGAGATAGAGGTAGAGATAAGTGACAGGGCAATTCAAATAGGCTTAAATACATACTTACTATTTCTCATCAGTAGAAATATCCTGAGTGTTTTTTATAAAACTTTATGACAGTATATTTACAGGTTAATAATCAGTTTGAAAATAACAATGTGGTAGGCTGCTGTTACAGTTTGTAGTATGACTTATGGGTAGAAAAGAATTATTTTATGTATAGTCAGTCTTCTTTCTTGGACAACATGGACACAGTACTTCTCTGCTTTCATCTTAGTCTGTTTTCTCTTTTGTTTTTGCTTTAGCTCAACAGAACTCACCAAAAATCCATGAAGGCTGGTGGGCATACAAGGAGGTGGTCCAGGGAAGCTTTGTCCCAGGTAAATGCACATTTATTACTTTATTTTTAAGAAAATAATTTGAGTGAAATGTAGTATTATTTCCAGAATTTTGCATTTGCTACATGGCATGGAATGTATTGCAAAAGGCATCATAGTCTGACTTATGTGTTAGATGAATCCTCCATCAAGAGAAAGTTTATTAAGTGAGTGGTAATTTAACCAAGACTACGTTTTTCCATCTGTGCTTACATCTTAATGTCCTTCCATCTACAGGTGGCTGTGTCAGGGAGAGGGCAATGCAAGAGTTGGGGTTGAGGTTCTGTATGCTAAAATTTGGTTGAGAAAGAGTGATTTTTTAATGTTAATGAAACAGGAAGTCTGAAAACTAGCAATGAGGCTTGCTGGGATGCACGCCGTCTCTGATGTCACTTCAGTAGCATTCACGGTCAGGACTTAGCAGATTGGGCCAAATACCAGGTAAAAAAATCATAGGTAAAGTGGATGTTTTCAGCATGGGAGGAGAGAACTGAAGACAGGTTAAAGCCAGAAACATACCATAACATTAGTTTTGAGACAAGGTAGAGTGTCGTTGTCTTCCCCCACTACTCTTATCCTAATTATAGTCCTCAGTCTTCTTCTTCAAGATTGTAGGGAAAGAGGAAAGAGAAAGAGCATGAATGTTAAAGAGAAGGATGGAAGGGAAGGCAGGTGAGATATTTCAAAGTATTTTTAACTGCTTATATGTGAGAGGGTAAGAGATAAAGCTCTCAAGAGGAGGCAATGTGGGGTTCCAAATCAGGCAATGAAAACAGAGGTCAAGTGTCAGTTGAGGTCTTTGTAATTAGTGGCAGGTGGGAAGAGCGGTGCCCCCAGGTCACCTGGTTCATTCTTGGATGCTATGTCGTCTTTTCCTGTCCTTCTGTATAGTTCATTATATCAGCTGTGCAGAGCTAAGCAAGTTGCTAAACTCCTCTGAGCATCACTTTTTTCATTTGTATTGTGGGACATAAATACGTACCTTTGAAGCTTTTCATTAAGAGGAAAGCAGGCATGGTGAGAGAGAGTGAATGACCCAGGGAAAAGCCAGTTGACTGCTGAATAGTTTCACAAATTGGTATTATTTACTTGATAAATTTACTATGATACATTTATGTCTTGGCCCAGTGGGCATAGAAACTGGGCTTGATTAATTCACCCAGATATGATCAAGTTTCTAATAATATTCTTACAATAATTTAATTGACACAGATGTGTTCATATGGCATGATATAGATATATGACATTTTACACTTACAATTGGGGGCATCCCTTTCCAATTGATAGAAGGTTGTGTATTTTTTTCTGAGGAATCTTCTTCTCATATTCAAGACATCCCAGAAATTACATTTATAATAATATTTTTATGCTTCGTGATTATTAAATTAGAGCAACAAAGGGCATTCTGCCAGATTATAAATCTTGCTAAACTAGTAATATTCTCCATAGTGACTGAAATGCTCATGGATAATACTGGATACATTCTGGAAAATTTTGCTTTTCTGCTTCACAGTTTTTTGACTTTTTCCCCTTTGTTGACACATTTTTCCTTTACATGTACTTAAGTCCCTATTTTGAGTTTGTTGTTGCTTCTAAGACAACCACAGGAAAGAAGTTTTATCTTTCCTTTATGTGTTGATTTAAAAGAATTTAAGTTTCCCTTATTTCAAGTTTTAAATGAGGTAATATGTATAAAACCGTCTATATGGGAACCAGTAAGGTGTGGAGTTATGAGCATGAACTCTGGAGTTGGACAGACCTGGAGCTGAATCTAGACTCTATGGCTTCCTTCTGGTAGAACTGTCAGCAAGTCACCTACCAACTCTCATTCCCCCAGGTTCTTCATCTGTTAGAATGAAGATAAGGACCAAATCATCCTCACAAAGTTTTGTGAGGATTAAATTGCATAATGTAGGTAAAGTGTCTGGTGCATCGTGTGAGTCAGTACCTGTAATGCTGTTGGCATTTCTATCATTATTTTATCATAACAACATAACTGGATATTTGATACTTCTCTGTTTGAGAAAGGAAGAGAACTGTAAATTAAAAAATGTAATCATGCAAGTGAGGGTCTCTCATGATGCTAGAACATGGAAGGTGCTTAGTAAATGTTCCTTGAATTTGTAAGCTCAAAGTGTCTCCATACAGTGACCGCTGGAGAGGAAACTTCATCATTCTCTAGATTTAACAGTCCCAAAATTCTTTGGCTTCTTGGTAAAGAAGACTGGTATCTGATAATCTCAATTCCTAAACATTTGGGAATTTCAGATGTCTTTAAAAAGATAAGAGTCATGAGAATTTGTGAATTAAGTAATTGGACCTTAGACTCTAACATCTCACAGACTCCAGATGACCCACTTTATCTGAATTGGTGCTTAGGCCAATGGTCCCTTTTTCTCTCATTATCATTACTGAATATAAGGTTAAGAATGTTCTTTACTTTGCCCTGGGATTTTTTTCAGATTATCGATGTGTAAAAGAGAAGAGAATCTCTTATGACTAGATTATTTGGACAAGTTTTATTGTCCATGAACTTTTACTAGAGTGTCCATAAATAATTATCAGTTGACATAATAGTTGTGAATCTGTTACCTTAACAAAGCTTGTAGTAGATAAAAATACATGATTTCTACAGTGATGGCAAACACAAGGTTGATTTAGTGTCAGAATAGCCCACTTTGTTCAGTTCAATAGTACTTAAGGAGTAGCCACCTGATACTGAGCACATGTGTGGGACTGTTGATAAAGAGCTAACTGATACATAGTTCTTATACAAGGATAAACCCACAGTCTAAAGAGGAAATAAAGCAATAAACCCATGACTTAGTATAAGGGCTGTAATAGGGTTTATAAGACATATAAAGGAGGCCATAAAGCGTTGGGATTCAGCCTGCCTGGTGTTTAACAGATTTTGTTGTTTACTTGCTTAAATCTGTATCTTCATCCAGCATCACCCATAACCACCATCTGCCTTACAGACAGAGCACCAATTTTATTTGGGTGTTTACCTCCACATAGTCATGTGCTCAGGGAAGGAGACCTTCCTAGCCCCAGAAGGTTACTCTTGGCTATATCTACACCATGGTGATTTCAGCCTCTTTTTTTGACAGTGATTGATTTAGACGTCATGATGGCTACTTTTATGTGTCAACTTGGCTGACCCACAGTACCCAGATATCTGATCAAACATTATTCTAGACTTTTCTGTGAAGATATTTTTAAAATGAGATTAGCATTTATACTGGTAGACTCTGAGTAAAGCAGATTACTCTCCATAATGTTGGTGGGCCTCATGCAATCAGTTGTGGGCCTTAAGAGAAAAAGGCTGAGGGAACTTGTGTTTCCAGAAGTTTTTGGCCTTCAGCTGCAACATCAACTGGGCCTCCAGGCTGCTGGCCTACCTTGAAAATTTCAGATTTGTCAGTCTCCATAATCATGTGAGCCCATTCCTTAAAATAAATTTCTCTCTCTGTAGACCGCCCCCCCCACACACAAACACACACATTCTATTGGTTCTGTTTCTCTGGAACACCCTGACTAATACACTAACACAGATATGAACATATGATAAATAGTTCTCTCCATCACTTGTGAGGGGAGTCCACTGAAAAAACTTGGGAACAAAAGCCACACTAAAGATGGCAGAACAGAAAGTTGGAAAGAACCAAGATCTTTTATGGGCCACTTGAGTATTGAATTAACCATGGAACTGCCTCAGCATTTTTTTTCTTGAGATAAAAAAAACATCTTGTTGTTGGAGCCACTTTGAGTCAGGCTTTCTGTTACTTGCAGCCCAAAAAATTCTTCAAGAGTCACATTTCTCAATACAGAGCAGAAGGAAGGAAGGAAGTCTTGGGTCTTGACAATCTTCAGGATTATCCAAAGTGGATAAGGAGAAGAATGTGAGGATTATCAGGATAAACAGCACTGGCAAAGAGGAGTGAAAATTCACTGTGGGTTTGGGGAATGCTGGGTACCTCTGAGTCTCTAAGAGGCAGGGTACACGATAAGATGTGATGAATGAGGAGACCAGCAAGGTCATCAGGGGCCATGCTGTTAAATTCTTTGTGTTCCATGTTCAAGAGCTTAGGCACAGCTTTTTGGTTGTTTTGTTTTGTTCTGTTTTTTAAATAGAGGGATTATAAGACATTTTTAAGCTCTGGAGTGACACAATCAAATGTAAATTTTAAAAAGCCAGCTATGAGCCAAATGGCCATGGACATGACAAAATTACACATATTTACAGTGTAGCTATTGATGAAAAAGACCAGAAGACTAGCATAAAAGATATACAACTAAAGGTGTAAAGAAGGAACCACAACAGGACAGGTAAAAGGGTCAGAGAAGCAGTATAGTCGAGACCCATAGACCCAGGTGGGCCATCCACAAATGGGAGGATAATTATAGTTGCAAGGAGCATGGGATCCAAGCCCCACACTGGGCTCCCCAGCCTGGGGGTTCTGCACCATGAAGATGAGCCCCCAGAATGTTTGGCTTTGAAAGCCATCAGGGCTTACTTTTGGGAGAGTCAGAGGGCTGTGGGAAATAGAGACTCCAATCTTAAAAGGCCCACACAAAATCTCACACACTGCAGGACCCAGGAAAGAAGCAGTAATTTGAAAGGATTCTGGGTCATACCAACTTGCTGATCTTAGAGAGTCTCCTGGAGAGACAGAGGGTAACTGGAGCTCATCCTGGGAATACAGACACTGGTGGCAGTCATTTTGGGGATCTTGTTCTACCACAGTTACACTGATTCTGGCAAGCACTATTTTGGAGTCCTCTCTGTAGCTTATTAGTGCTGGAACTGTCCTCACCCACCAACAGGGTGGCTGCCTTAAAGCCCCCTGAGCCCACAGCCATTCCAGAACCCAGCTTTTACACCAGAGGGCCCAGGACCCAGCATAAATAGCTCCAGACCACCCTCACCAACCAGTGGACAGGCACCAACTCTGAGACCCCCTGGGCCCTGCAGCCAGAGACCCTGGGACCTGGATCCAGCC